CACCCGTTTCTCCAACTCCCGCTTCTTCCCCGGCGACAAGTCATCTCAGCATCACTTGTGTAATAGTGGTATTTCTAAGAGTGCTTACGATCCTCTTCCGCTAACCTCCACCTTCAAGAGTGATTAAAGGATCTCGAGATGAAGGATCTAGATTTTAAATGTGAGGCTTTGTTATAGTTGGCTATTTGCATTATCTAAATTATTGGTTATTAATTTTGCAAGTTCTCGTAATCTCAATTGTAATCGATTGCTATTGCTTTATCTTTCATGCTATTTTCTAAAACCTCTACTTGAGTAAACTAGTTTTATGGGTAGTACGCAAAGTTCATAACTTTTATTAATCTCTTAAATTGCCGCATTTAGATTCACATCAAACAGTTTATGAAGATGCACAGTACTTCATCCCAAAGAAGCAAAAGTCTTTGAGTTCTCTTAAAGCTAAAACATTAAACTCAAAGGCTGCGAAGCGACCCAAACATGAAGGTGAGAAGAAGCAAGTGGGGAGAAAGAAGGCAATGCCGACTTTTCCCAAAACAGCGATCACTCCTAGATCAAAGAAACATGTGCCTCATCTAGGGATGAAGATGATGAAGATGATGTCACTCCAACCAAATCCTGAAGAGTCTACAACTGAATGGAGTATGGAGGTTGAATATTCAAATAATGATTATGACTATGACTCTATCTACATAAACACGGTGCAGTGTGTGTTCTCCAGAAGGATAAGCAGCCTGTCGATCTCAGATAGTGTGCTTGTAGTCCGGCGTATTCCCCTACAACACTTCAAAGAAATCATTCCACGCGAAGTGCATAAGGTTAAAGAACTCACCACCCTTTATCTGTCTCCCCTTAAAAAGGGGACTGCACCAAGGAATATATTATATTAAGCGGGAATGCGTGAAGAACAGAATCATAACTGGTGTTGTATGCTCATTGATTCTGAAGAGTTACTACCTACGAGGCTACCTACGTTTAATACCAAGGTATTCAAAGAATGCTACGAAAGCAAATCAATATTCCTACCACCAAACGACAATTTAAATAAATTTATTTTTTTTTTAATTTTCATTTTAATGATGTCATGCAATTTTGAGGCTCCTAAATTTTACATCAATTGCTAAACTATTTTACTCAGTTGTTAATTTATATGGCTATTAGAAATTTCAATTTGTAAGCTCACTTTTGAAGTTCGCCTTCAATTAGCTATGTACATGAGGGGTGTGCGAGAAGGGGGTATATACTCTTAGTTGTATTGAAAGTAACATGTTACTGTGGCATGCTTTGGAGTGATCGCAACAAGTATTCAAATATATGAATATTTCTTCAATGTGCACACCTGAGCAAAAATGTCAAAAAATATTTAAACGAACTTTAGGTAAATTAGCAATGATACACCAGTAACACCAGCAAGTAAATAGTTTGCACGTTGCATAAGTGTAATATGTATGTTAAGATTAATATTAATGTATAAAAACATTGTTGTATTATTGGCAGAGAATCTAGAAAAAAGCACAAAGCGGTAAGCTTTAAACTCATGGAAATGGTTATTTTTGTTTATACCAGTTGATGCTATATTATATAAGCTCGGAGTTCACAGAAGAGTACAAAAAGCAAGTGCTAGTAAAACCGCTGCATTGTACATACATGACATCAGATATTTTCCTATATTAAAAATATAAGATAACTTACTTGTTCGCCAAGAAAATGTGCAGAAACAGAATTCAAAGAGTAAGAACTAAGTTTATAATCCCTTTGCATTGCCTGTATGAATAAATACAAAATTAAGCTAGTGAAAGAAGTTTCAGCATTTCTAAATCAGCGTAATCCAGAACTAGATCAGCATAACGGACCTGAAGAAGATCAAATTGAACTCTCCCTTCAATAGTTATGTCTTTGCTTTCTCGTATGCCATACTGTCTGCATAAATGTAAGTAGTGCCAAGTCAGGATAAGGGAGGCAATCTAAATACAAAGTAAACAAAATTAAGAAATGCTGGTAATTGCTGACAAAGAAGATATCCAAACACCAATGTTGCTAATGCATTGCTGTTTTGATATCCTTACATAAAAAAAGGAATAATCATATAAAAGCAAGAATCGCTTTCCAAGAAGTAGGGACACGTCAATTTAACACAAACTAAAAACCGAGAACATAAGAGTTTCCTGTATTCATAGGATTTTAGAAGTTGATATATGCAAACTTACTTCTGCATTGTAGAGAGGTTATTATATCACAATAAAGGCAACCTAATCATCGTTCATACAAGCATTAAATATAAAGTTCTCTTATGTTATGTTACCCTGTGCAAGGATTTGCGAAGTCTTCAACACTTCATAGCCGCATGGTGTCAACTGACCATTGAAAATATAGTAATTAGTTAGGTCTATAACCTAAATTCTCTTTATTTTTAATAACGAATGAACCAACTCGTCAATAACTTAGCGCACAAATTAATGAAATCAATATGCTAGTTCATGTTGGTAAACAATCTTAATTTAGTTGAATAGGAAACAAGCAACAACCTTCGAAACAGTCACCGTCCTGGAACTCATTGCTCCCTACCGCTTTATATATGTTTTAAAACCTAAAAAAAGACAAAAGTATAACTAACAAACATTTTTTTTCAAGCTTACATGTCTCTAAAAGTAGACAACATGGAAGAATGAAAGACTTTGGATTGCAATGTTTGATAGATAAGGACCCTCGATGAACCAAGTATTTGATTAAATTAAAACGTTTTAGAATAGGCCTTTACAGAACATGAGTTGAAAGTACGT